ACCTCCGGAGGTGGAGGAGGTGGTACTCACGGACACGCTCGTCCGCTGCCTGCCCGCTTTCCACAGCGCGTTTCAGCGCGGCCAGCCTGCTCTCCGCCTCCTTCCTCTGCCTGTACCTCTCTATCTTAGCCTCGCGTTGCGACGCCATGGCCTCGAGGCCAGGCCGGGCTGCGGGGGCGCAGCGGCACTGCGTTCGGCTGCGCCGGCGCGGGTTCCAGGAAGCGGGAACTCGGCCAGCCGGTAGTGCCGGCACTGCGTGAGGTAGTTCAGGAAGTGTTCCCGCGCCTGCTGCAGGTGGGCCAGACGCTCGCCGGGGCGCACCTGCTTCACGGTGAGCGCGCCCTGCAGCGCCGGCAGCAGCAGGTACTTGAGGTCGGCGGAGGCGATGTCTTCCACGTCCTCGTTTCGGCTGAACAGGTCGAGCAGCGACAGCATGTCGGCGGCCTTCCCCAGGAGCTCCAAGCCCTCGGCCACGGCGTCCTGGACCGCCTGGGAACCGCTGGGCTCGGCCGCGGCCTCCGCCTGCTCCAGCAGCCGCCTGCCGGCCTCGAACAGCTCGGGCAGCCGCAGCGGCAGGGCCTTGTCCGCGGACGCTGCCATCTCGCGGCGGAGGCTGGCCGGGGCTTCACTCCCGGGTCACAGGTAACTGGAAAAGAAGAGTCAGGTGAGGCGAAGGCAGGCACGGGAAAGGCGCGCCGGGCCCCGCACACGGCCTGCCGCAGAGCAAGGCCTCCGTCCAAACCAACCAGCCAGCAGGCACGCTTAGCCCGAGGCGCGCCCGAGCCCCGCGGGCCCCGAGGCCCGGTGTGGCGGGGGCACTCGGGCGCGAGGGGGCCGGGAGGGTGCGGGCCGCGGCGCGGGCCTTCACCTCGAGAGCCGCTCCCGCCCGGCGCCGCTCCGCAGGCCGACGGTTGCGCCGCAGGAAGTGCGCGTGGCGCCCTCGCTTCCGCCGGGCCGGCCTCTGGCGCCTGCGCAGTCGCGTCCCCGCGCCCGCCGAGCCCCGCGTCGTCCCAGTGCAGGCGCCTCGGGAGCGCCCCGCCACCTGGTAGGCGCCTTCGCGCCACGCGGCGCCCACGTCCTGCTTTCGTGTACTCGGGGGTCGTGGGCTCCCCTTTCTCGCGCTTGGCCAGGTCACCCCGCTCCTGGGGGACTCCCCGCGGCCTTGTCCCCGCGTTGACGAGGGTGGCAGAGCCCCGTCACCGTCCCTGCAGAGCGCGGCTTTCCTAGATGGTGTGTCGTGGGCGAGTCTGCTAGGCCGCTGTGCTTGGGTTCCAGCTGGACATCTCGCCGTAGTCTCGGCGTTTTGTCCTTGTGTAGCCGATGGCAGCCCTGGCAAGGGCGTGGGGTCCCGGCCCCGCCCAAGGGCTGGTGGTGGTGGCATCAGTGACGGACGGGTCACGCGCGCCCTCACCAGCAGGCCGCAGCCGTGGTGTGCGGGAGCACCTGCCCGCGCGTGGCTGGCGCGGGTGTGGGGGCCGTGTTGGTACAGGCTGCTCGGGGCAGCAGGAGAGGGAGAGCAGTACGGGGACGGGCTCTGAGTTCCAGGGTCCGGGGAGCCGCAGTCCCGCGCTGTGCCAGCCCCCCGTCGCCTGTCTCAGGCAGGGCTCTGGGATCGCGGCCGCACTGCTCCGTTTACTCGGCTTTGTGAGGCCCGAGTGGTTCTTCCTGATGTAGTGGAATACCTTCGGGTCCCGCAGATGGGATACGCAGGCCCTCTGTCCCCTACTGACCGGGGCCCGCGCTCTGGGGGGGTTGACAAGAAGGTGTGCGTTCCTTCTCTGAGCACAGCTGCCGGGAGCGCTCCAGGTGCCCCCACCCCGCCTTGCTGGGCTGCAAACCTGCGGTGCCCGTGGATCCCTTTGAGGTGGCATTGCCAGTGTCCGCAGACGGCGCCTGTGAGGGACCTCCCCGGTGCCCCTTCCCCTGTCACGGGGCCAGGGCCGTGGCTGCTGGCGTGCTGTGTTTTTCTCTCCACTGCCACCCCAGTTCTCCCCGCCCTAGAGATGTCCGTGTGTCTCTGCTGGGCTCCAGGGCCACCCTGGGATACTGACCTCAAAGTATGCCATTTCCTTACTGTTTGCTTCTCTCTGTAGGAGGAGGGGAGAAGTGGAATGCTGGTTCTCTCTATTTGGCCATCTTAGAAGTCCTATATGATTTATCCTATTTTACATTTACAGTCGTGTGCTGCTTTTTCAATGGGTGTGCATATGTGTATGTGGGGTGAAGTGGCAGGTTTTTGTTTGATGTTTCCTATATTTTGAAGCATCTCCTTTTTAGGACTTTAGGTAATGAAGTTGCACAAAATAACTATCTTCTCTCATCAAACAGTTCTTTTTCTTTCTTTCTTCTTTTTAAGAGAGTTGAAAATCTCAGGGCGATACTGAGACCTCTGGACCTAGGATACTCTGGGCAGTAACGAGTCTTCATGCATTTGTGTACCTCCTTTTTAAAAAGATATACTTATTTATTTGAAAGGCAGAGTAATGGAGAGAGAGGGAGAGAGTGAAGGAGGGAGTGAGGGATAGACAGAGAGAGAGAGAGAATCTTCTTTCTGCTGGTTCTTTCCCCAAATGGACACAACAGCTGGAGCTGGGCCAATCCAAAGCCAGGGTTCCAGGCCTTCCACATGGGTGGCAGGGACCCAAACCCTTGGGCCATCTTCTGCTGCTTTTCCCAGGCCATTAGCAGGAGCTGGATGGGAAGTAGAACAGATGGGACTGGAACTGGTTCCCATATGGGATACCAGCACCACAAGCAGCGGTTTTACTTGCCACGCCACAGCCCAGCCCCTTCGTGAGACATTTCTAAAGAAAGATTTCCAATTATATCGGGAACCGCTGCTTCCTCCCCTGTAACTGCTGGCTGTGGAGATTTTGGCTGGGCAGTAGGCTCTTCCGGGCTTCTGGGACTGCCTTGTCTTTCTTCACTGCCAACTTAGTTGATTGCGCCTCCTTTCCACCAAGACCCTGGTGACAAGAGATCTTTTCCTGGTGATTTTCTTTTCTCTTTTATTTTCTTAAAAACAAGTACATACATCAAATCCTTATTTTGTCCTTGCTTGGCAGAAGAGGGCATATATAAAATTTTGTTTGTGTGAAGCCAACAGACTTCAGAAGCGAGTCAGACATGTGGCTCTTCTTCCTTTTTCCGGGTGAATCCCGTTCCAGTGGAATCCACCCCCTGCTTTGCTGCACCTGCATGTGGGTTGATGGGATGGGACAAAGTGCTGCAGGTGGTTAATGAGACGTAATCAACATCATCATGGCCTTGCACACACCATGGCATCACTTCCCTGAGACAGTGCTAGCCTGGGTCTTTAAGCATGCTTTTAATCCGACAGGTCAGACTTTATATAAACTATCCCCCCCCCCTTTTTTTTTTGACAGGCAGAGTGGACAGTGAGAGAGAGAGACAGAGAGAAAGGTCTTCCTTTGCCGTTGGTTCACCCTCCAATGGCCACCGCGGCCAGCGCGCTGTGGCCAGCGCACCGCGCTGATCCGATGGCAGGAGCCAGGAGCCAGGAGCCAGGTGCTTTTCCTGGTGTCCCATGGGGTGCAGGGCCCAAGCACTTGGGCCATCCTCCACTGCACTCCCTGGCCACAGCAGAGGGCTGGCCTGGAAGAGGGGCAACCGGGACAGAATCCGGCGCCCTGACCGGGACTAGAACCCGGTGTGCCGGCACCGCTAGGCGGAGGATTAGCCTAGTGAGCCGCGGCGCCGGCCCCGTTTTTTCTTTAATTTAGTGCAAGGAACTCAGGTTTATTGTCAGAAATGGAAATGATGGCTGATACCTGCGTGCGTGCTAAGGGGTAGAGCAAACGTTATTGTTTTTATATACCCAACCACTATCAGAAAGAACCCTGGTTTATACTCCTCCCCCAGCCCTACCTGCCATATGCCATTTATGGCACATTCATTTCTCCTTTGCATGGATAATTTACAGTAATCTCTTATGTGAAGAATGTCCTAGAAATTTTTGCTTGTTACATATTAATTTTTAGATCAAAATATTTCTTTCACATACCCCCCCCCCCCACCACCATGCCCAACATATTTTGAATTTAAATACAATCATCTCTTGGAGAGGAATTTCAGGATGACTTAAGGGTATTCTTTCTAATTCTCAGTCCTTTGTTATATTCTTAGCAAGCCATGTTCCTCAGCGAATCTTCTGGATTTCTAATGACATATAAATAGCTTTCCATTCTCTAATTCGGTCACTCAACCAAGTCAGCTAGTGGTGGGTGCGGCAGTGAACTGTTAAATTCAGTTGCAGTCTATGCTCACACTGCCAGGTGTTGGAATGGTAATATTTCTACACGTGTAGATTCAGCCACATTCACCTTATTATCCTTTCCTGAAATGTGAATGTTAATTCACTACATGGCAGAGAGGTGATAGAAATGTAAAAACAAAACAAAACAAAAAAAACTCAGATGCAATCTACGAGTAGTAAATCTGCATATAACTTTCCATTTCCATCAAGCCTGATATAATTTTGCATTCTTAAAACTAAAGAAACTTAAAAGGTCTTTATATTCTTTTTTGGTAACAAGGACAATTACACAAAATAATTTAAGAGGCAGCATGGTATTTAAAAATAAAATGAGTTTTTTGGGTAGGTTTAGAAATGCCGTAGATGTCATCTAATAAAGCCCCTTCATTTTACACTCTTAAGCTTTCACCTTCACTTTAGGAGAGTTTGGAAACGAACATTTCTGGACTTTCTGTCGTGGTTGACCTTTCTCGACCAGACTTGATTCATATCTCCTTGAATAAAGCATCGCTGATTCACATCCTTTTCTTGGCAAAACCTCATCACCATCACTACTCCTCCCACAGTGACTCCCCTCAAACCCACAGCAATGCCGTTGGCACCACCACCACTACTGTCACCATCATCATCAACTCTGGAATGCCCACTCCTTGAGGATCATAGTCCCAGAGTGTGAACCTAGCATACTCGGGCTGAATGGCCACAGCACATTCCACCAGTTTTACGTCTGTGTGTCCTGAATCCATGGAGCCAGTGGTGCCATTGCAGTTTCAACCTCATGACCAGAGGCCTCGACGTCCAACAGGGCTGACTGAGCTGAAACAGAGCTCGTGGCTAAGGTTTGCCGTATATTTGTGGTCTAGAGTGAGGTTGGACAGCATCCCAGCGCCTTTTTCAGAGCCCCCACCACCTCCTTATTCCTCAGACTGTAGATGAGGGGGTTCATCATGGGGGTGAGGATGGCACCAAACAAGAAGAGGACCTGGTCCAGCTTGGGGCTGTGGTAGGAGCTTGGCCTCATGTAGACCAGCATGGCCGGGCCAAAGTAGAGGCTCACCACAGCCAGGTGAGAGGAACAGGTAGCCAGGGCTTTATTTCTGCCCTCAGGGGAGTTCATGCGGAGAACAGCAAGGAAGATGAGCACGTATGAAGTCAAGATGAGGGACAGGGGAATGAGGAGCACCACAATGCTGGTCGCCACCACAGCCTTCTCGTAGGCAGAGATGTCCTCACAGGCCAGCTTGAGGATGGCGATGACCTCACAAAGGAAATGAGAAATCTCTGTGGAACCACAGATTGGGAAGTGCATGGCGTAGGCAGTGTGTGCCAGTGATAAAAAGGCACCCCCAGCCCAGGAGACGGCGGCCATCTGCAGGCAGACCCTCTGGCTCATGAGGAGGGCATATCTCAGAGGGTTGCA